AGGAAGACCCCCAATGAGATGTATCGGCCAGGTGGCATCATTGATGGTGTCAAGTGTGGTGAGGATGGCACAGGATCGTACATCGTTTTGTTCTGCTGTGCATGGGGTCGTACATCGTTTTGTTCTGCTGTGCATGGGGTCGCTATGAGTTGGTTCCGACTCGATGGCACCTAACAACATCTTGTTACAGACCACAGTCCCTCTAGTCACCATTGGTGAGGCAAGAGTAGGCTACCCTGTAATAAACTGGGTTAATAATAGAATCCCACCCTCATTGTCATAACTAAAAATGGGAGGAATTTGTCCAACACATGCTGGGCAAATCAGTCCTCTGTCATTAAAACGGGAAATAAGAGGAGTGAAAATTGCCAACAAGCATTTTTTGTTCTTGTAAAGTACTATTGAGTCTATTCCAACTCATAGTGACTCTGTATAGGGTTTCCAAGGAATAGCTGGTGAGTTTGAACCGCCAACCTTGCAGCTCAAAATGACTTTGTAGTCCTGTGCTTATCCTACAGCGCCACACAAGGACTCCAACAGTAACACTGGGAATTCTTACTTTTGTCTCTAATATCTGCTTCTCTATTTCTGTTGTTGTTGTTCAGTGCTATCAAGTCAGTTCCATAGTTTATTGCAATGTGGGAAATGCCACTCTGAAAGAAGGAAGTGGACACAGAAGTTCTAGTGTTCAAATTCACCAGCTGTTCCCCATAAACCCTACACAGGTTCACTATGAGTTGGAACCAACTTGAAGGTACTTTATTTTCACAACTTTTACAATACTATTCAATTTCTTCTTTGCTTTATGAGTAATATAACTAGTCTTGGTGGAGAAAACATCTCTATTCCTTTTTTTTAAGGTTTTATTGTGAGGTGTACATGGGAGAACATCAGCTTTATACTCATCCTATTATAGTTCATCTCATTGCAATGATTACAGTCCCCTCCATGCATCATCAAATAACCAAAGGGTACACCACACAGGCCCCCTCCCCGGGCCATCAGCACACAGGCCTTCTCCCTCCCTGAGTCCAGTGTCCCCAGCCACTCCATCTGTCCATGTCATCGTCTCTGTCTCCATCCTTGGCATCACTGCCTCTTTGGGTAGGGTCCCACTCTCTGTTCTTCTCACTTGATGGTCCCAGGGACCTCTGTTCCTGAGCTGCAAAATCAATCACTCTCCTCCTTTTGTCAAAAAACATCTACCTCTACATTTCCTAACCTCACAGCAGACCGGATGGCGATTATTCAACATTGTGGCACAAGAGTCTTATCCCCATTTCCTTTCACCAATCCGGTCTC